TACAGAGGTACACATCTTTTATACCTATAGCATTATTCTACATAGATGCATATATAAATGCGTGATATATATATATATATATATTAGATATATTGAAGAATTAATGTAGTTTTTACTACATATCGTATTATTAATATGAATATATATTTTATATGATATATAATATATATTATCAATATATATTTTACATTATTTTATTATATAAGTTTAATTTTTGTATGGAAATTTGAAAATGTGTGTCTTTCATATTTCAACAAACGGCCGACGAAATTTAAGACGAAAAAAATCAGCAGAAAATATCACGTCCACTATTTATAATGGTAAAGATATTTTGTTGACCATCTTCAGGAGATCAAAAGAAATTAATATTCCCTGGAATAGATTGGCTTTGGCATACATCATCAGTGATGTTTATTAGCCGTGGATCATTAGAGTTGCTTCGGGTCTGGCAACACCATAAATCTTTTTCACGGCGATGCAGTTGATACGGATCGGATACCGATAGATTGTTTGAGAAATTTGGTGGTTGAGTACATAGAACATTCACTGTACGCAAAAGATATTGCTCCATCTATTTCTTGCTTTCAAAGCTTAAAAGAGGGACATTTTGAAGTTACTTCATGATGTTAGCAGCAACAGAATAACATTTCAATGACCAAAAGGACTTTTATTTATTTATTTATTTATCTTTTAGTGGTGGTGGTGGGGAGGGGGAAGTGATTTGCCAGTTGTATTTTACTGCAGGTGAATATGAAGAATAACATCTACTTTATTCTCAGTAAACCCTTGCGTCTTAGTGGCTTTATTGCTTTGGTTGGGGGGGTATTATTAAAATAGTTCAATGACTCTAGATCGTATCATTCCTGCTGAGACTGAGAACGTTTTACCACACCCTAGTAAATGATACTCCGTGGCATGGATACACAGCGCTTTTCCATCCAACCCGAACCTGCAAGTTGTATTCAAAGCAAAACCAACTTGCCTGACTGGTTCTGCCAACCAAACTCAAGGGGAAGAAAACGAAAAATCTGAAAGATACCAGAATTTTGGCCGAAACATTAAATTTACGGTAGTTCCCATAATACTTGGATCACTTGGAATCGTAGTGAAAACACTAGAATTTTGGATGAATTAGAAAATAATAAGGAAATTGATGCAGCTTTGAGGAGACTTTTCACTCAATCTCTAAAGATGACAACCAAGCATGAAATAATAATAATAATAATGCCTTCTTATATATATAACACTGCCATTAGATAAAAATATATATCTGGTAAAGAATAATGAGACTCCCGAGAGAATACTTTCCCAATCTTAACCTTTTCAAGCCATTTTCTATTGTTCATATCCTTAAAATACGCACTTCTTGCTCCTTTCTTTTTACGCCCTTACCACAACTTCATTTATTAAGCCTCTAACTTGAGTAGCTCTTGGACCTTATAGAGAGTGAAAATATTAAAAGAGTAGATACAAGAATTTTGAAATTGAAAAACTGTTTTTATACGCATAATAACTTGAACCATGGTACGATAAACAAAAGTTACAGACACGAACATTAACAAGATGTCTAGTAGATTCCTTTTTACAATAAATTAAAAAGATCGCACTATGATGAACTGCTCGTCTACTCAGGAAAATATTATCCATGTAAAGATAGCATAAACAATAGATATGTTAGTAGCAATAAACACCAGTTTCGTAATGTTCGTTTTAGTAGAGATTTTGTAATCGCAGATACAACTATAGTGACGCCATTGAACAGTACTGGCGTCAGACTTCGAATAACAATCGCACTAATAGTACTTGCTCGATAATACACGCTAGAACAGTAATCTGAATAGTGATTCGAATAGAGAAATAGTCTAATGAATAGAGTAAAGAATAGCGGTTCGTATAGTAATTGAGGATAGACTAGAAATAACGATCGGTGTAGTATGGAGGATAGACTAGAAACAACGATCAATTAAACGCCAAGCTAGTTCCGACTTATGCGTTTCCTCTATGGTCACGTGGTCTAATTAATCCAATAATGGGATCGCCTGTGTTTGTTCACTAGCGATCTATGTTTAAACTCAAGTGCCGACAGCGACACTTTATTCCTATATAAGACTTTAGTACCTTACGTTGCCCCAGGTCTCGACTAATGACCCACTAAGGGATTGCATTAAAGAGAAAAAAATGATCGTATTTATTAAAAGATAAATGGCAAAAAGTCATGATTATAATAGCTAACAAAATCAAGAAATAAAAAAAGAAATCCTTAATATGCAAAATAAGTACGATATACATAAGGCTTAGCAGGCTAGTCTCGCAGATCATTATGGCTATTTTGAGTTCGATCCTCATTGGGGAAGGGGTCACAATTTTGCGAAATTAAACTTAGTTTTGAAGCTTTTAAATAATAATATAATTTCATATACAGTGGAACCTCGGTTCTCGAACGACTCGCATGTCGAACAAATCGGTTTTCGAACAGAAAATTTGTGATGAAAATGCCTCGGTTATCGGACAGAAAATTCGTGATGAAAATGCCTCGGTTATCGGACAGAAAATTTGTGATGAAAATGCCTCGGTTATCGGACAGAAAATTCGTGATGAAAATGCCTCGGTTATCGGACAGAAAATTCGTGATGAAAATGCCTCGGTTATCGGACAGAAAATTCGTGATGAAAATGCCTCGGTTATCGGACAGAAAATTCGTGATGAAAATGCCTCGGTTTCGAACAAAATTTCGGTTCTCGAATAACATTGCCGAACTGAGAGTTAACCCGAACAGACTAAGTTCTGAGTCGATCATTAATGTTGTATACATTCGTGTATTGTGGTGTGCTTTTCTTTTCCAATTTTATTGTAATATTAATTTTTTTTCTCTACATTGATTCCTATTAGAAAAATAGTTTCGGTTTACGAACATTTCGGGTTACGAACTAAATTCGTGAATCAAGGTTCCACTACATTATAAATACAGTGGAACTGTTTACGTGCTACTTTACCGCGCAATAATAATAATTATTATTATTAAAAATGACAACTGTAAAAGGTTTTAATAGTCAGATGCGATGAAACAAAATTCTTGAAACAATGTGTTGAGATTTAGTAAAGCAGAGATAAAGAGTTGACAACTAAAATAGAGGCCGATGAACCATTTTATTAGTCCGTTCCCTTTATATGTTTTAGACGTTCAATACTATCTATGATTCATATAGATTCATATTATATAACCACGTTCGATAGATTTTCATGTTAAAAATTCTATGTGTTTTATATAAAAGTAAAATGGAAAAATCTCTAGAAAGAACAGAACAACAAAGACGACGACAAAGCCTAATTCAAGACCAAGTTGAAGCAAGACGATCGCTTCATAGACAAAGTTATCTGAGTGCCTCATATGAAAGTCTTGAACAAATAAGATTGCAATCTAAGAACTGTAAGAATAAAGGAACTGATTAATTAAACGGTTCATTTTGCTCAAGAACTGATTTTGTCAAAATGCAGATAAATATTGTATTTGTATAGATCATTAAAACGACTAAAGGAAGTTATCAGTCATAAACTTACTAAGTTGATTTACTTCACTTCCCAATACAGATGGGGTAAGAAATACAGGGTGTCCTCCCCAAACTGACATCATTTAAAATGTCAATATCTGAGTAACTCTGTGGCACAGGGAAAAGAAATTAAGTAAGCTTCATGATGAATAATAAAAGATTTATTCATCAAAATTCGAACAAGATATTCAAAAGGGTGTAGGTTTTATAACCGATTTCACAAAGCTTAACAAATGTTCAATATGCGCACCACCTGTGATAAACGTCAAGTCGCTAGTCCAGCTCTTGCCAAATACGCTGTAGCATGTTTTGTGAAACATTCTCCTGCGCCTCAGTGAGGACTTATCTCAATGAGAATCTAAGAGAAGGATGGATCGGGCGTGCCAATGATAACTATATGCTGTTGAACGGGCGACCAAGTAGCTTCCCCCTCGTGCTATACAAGCCGAGAGGAACTTAAGCAGAGAGTCGCTAAGGCGCGGGAGAATGTTACGCCAGTCATGCTACAGCGTGTTTAACCAGAGTTGGACTACCGATTTGACTTGTTTCGTGTCACAGGTCGTACAGATATAGAACAATTGAATAAATACACATTGATAATTATTGTGATTTTCTAAGCGTAGCTAAGATGTGGCACGAGGCCGAAAGTATGGGGCACCTGGTGAGGATCGAACACTTTTCAGTCGTACCTGATCTAGCGAGACAAGCTTGCTAACCATTACACCACACCGAGGTACCTATTGATAATTATTGTGTGATTTGATAGTTGTGTATATTTTTATTCCGACATCATTTTTTAGGATGCTTATTATTTAATTCTAATGATTAAATCTTCAATACAAGATGTTGTAATACTAAGAAATATGCTCTAAATTTGGAGATTTTGTGTCACCTGATCAGGTGTAAATAATAATAATAATAATAATAATAAATACAGTTTTTTGTCTGTTTGTTCTTTGTCAGTCTGTACAGTACTGTCATTTTTTTTGTCTTTTGAGGGGGAATTACTCGGCGGGTCGAGTCACAGCGAGCCGAAAGACAAAGAACGATTACCGTGTGTTTATCTCTGTTCTTCAATATACACAACTGTATCACCATCATCATCATCATCTGCTAGAAAGTTGCTCACCAGTTGTTGAAAGGGAGGGTGGTCGAGGTCATTTTGCAGAGTAAACTCTGTGAGGGCCTTCCACGCTGGCTGGTAACTTTGCACTTCCACCGGGTTGGCGTGCATCGGGCTCTCGTGACGTACCGGACTTGATGCCACCATCGGAACTCCTTGAAGTGGTCCCTGTAGTCGATTGCCATTCTGGAGGAAAATCAACAAGAGGGGGAAAAAGAAAAGAAGATAGGATAATTCATGGCGTTGAAATCATTCGCAACGAAATCAAGGACATAAAATCATGAAGTAATAATGATAAATCCAAGTAATCCAATAATAATAAATTAATATTAATAGAAGAAAAAGGAAATAAAGATGAATAAAAATTGAAGAAAGAAGATAAATAATAAAAAGAAAAATATAAAAAGAAAAATGAATATGAAAAAGAGGATAAGAGAAGAAATGTAGGAGAAGAAGAGAAAAGAAAAGAAATGTAGGAGAAGAAGAGAAAAGAAAAGAAATGTAGGAGAAGAAGAGAAAAGAAAAGAAATGTAGGAGAAGAAGAGAAAAGAAAAGAAATGTAGGAGAAGAAGAGAAAAGAAAAGAAATGTAGGAGAAGAAGAGAAAAGAAAAGAAATGTAGGAGAAGAAGAGAAAAGAAAAGAAATGTAGGAGAAAAAGAAAAAGAGAAACGAGAAAAAAATGTGGAGAAGAAGAAAAAGAAAAGAAAACGAGGAGAAGAAAAGGAAAAGGAAAACGAATGTAGGAGAAGAAGAGAAGAAAAAGAAAACGAAATGTAGAAAAGAAAAAAATGAAAAAGAAACGAAATGATGTGGAAAAAGGAAAAGGAAAACGAGATGTGGAAAAAGGAAAAGGAAAACGAGATGTGGAAAAAGGAAAACGAGATGTGGAAAAAGGAAAAGGAGATGTGGAAAAAGGAAAAGGAGATGTGGAAAAAGGAAAAGGAAAACGAGATGTGGAAAAAGGAAAAGGAAAAACGAGATGTGGAAAAAGAGAAACGAAATGAAGAAAAAGAGAAACGAAATGAAGAAAAAGAGAAACGAAATGAAGAAAAAGAGAAACGAGATGTGGAAAAAGAGAAACGAGATGTGAAAAAAGAAAAAGACAAGAAATGTAAAAGAGAAGAAATGTAGTATAATGTAAAGAAAAAGAATATGAAGAAGATAATAAATAAAAAAAGCAATCTATCGGTTATTGGACATCGCAGATCAAACAAAACATAAGATAAAAGCTGTGAAAATATCAGCACCCTAACAGAAAAATGAAATTAAAAAAAGAAAATGTTAAACATAAAAGGAACGATTGAATCCAAGATTACTGGAACATTGGAATAATTCCAAAGGCCTGACAAATAGACGAGCAGAATTAAAATTATTAGAGTTTTCGTAAGACTTGCAGTCACATGATCTCCTACGTAAGCGCCTAGGTACTTCTGGTAAAATATATATATATTTCAAAAGATGACGATATAAACACAAGCCAAAACAAACACTAAAAAAAAAAAAAATAATAATACAGTTAAAGTTAAACGAATAGTATAGGATATTTAAATAAACAAGCGACGGTATAAATATATAATATAATCCTAACGCCTGTGTACTGGAATACAATATAAATAAATTTCGATATATCCGAGGTCTGTTACGTCTAAACTATCGACTCAGTTGAGTTATCATCAGAGGTATGAAAAGGTAGAGAAATAAAGAAAACCAAAGATATATTAAGCGAGCAAGTCCAGAATTTTGGACATAACATAAATTTCGGATATGTTTCTAGTATTTCCGAAAAAAATGTTTCGCATTTTAGAAAAAAAAAAATTAACAGACATGAGATTTTATTCTTTTTAATAAGACTTGTTTGCAAGAACAATTCCTGATAAAATCCCGAATTCAATATATTCAGTGAATCCTTATTTAGAAATAACATTTTCCAGTCCTTACAAAACACCGGGACATAAAAGCAAAGACATCGGGCCTTAAATTTAAAAAAAAAATAAAATAAATAAAATAAAATTAAATTAAATTAAAAAATAAAATAAAATTAAAAATAAAATTAAATTAAAAAATAAAAAAATAAAAACTTCAGAATTTTTGTCGTGGAGAGAACTTTTAAAATTTTTGTTTAGGTATTTCCAGGTTATATACAAATTATGGCTTTTTTGTAATTATTTCCTTTCAAAACAAACGATCATGGCTCTCCACAACTTCCAGATTATATATACTTTATCACCTTTTTGTAATGATATCCCTTCAGAAGATAAACGATCATGACTCCGCACAACTTCCTTTGCATCAATATCTCTAAATTATAAATTAAAATGACTAAAAATAGTGAGATGATTTCCTCCTTCACCTAGACTAATTGCCAAACAAGGTTAGCTAGTCTAATTTATCATGTATTAATGCGAAGTCAAGGCAACAGTTTCAGCTGGAATTTGAATTCAACTTGCAGATTCCATTTTCCCCGTCGATCACCGTTTCGGCACCCAGTTTTCTAATAATTAGGCCCTCACCAATCATAAATCTCAGACCGCTTTAAACATACTTCTTACAAGTAAACAATTTTGAACACCTATATTAAGTGAACATTTTTCGGTATTTACTCGTTTCAAAATATAAATAATAGGAGTTTTCTAAAAATTCAATCCTTCTGACACTTTCGGTAGACGTTCACTAGCAAAAGAAAACGAAGATCCGTAAGACACAAGTACGAAAACCGCTGGATTTTTCTTTTCCGCCGGGGAGGGGGACTTTGTAACAAATTTAGAATTCAGCCTTAAGTTACCAAAGGCCGCCAACATGGTTAGCAGCAAGGACATTTCAAATTTCCAGTACCTCCTTGCCTTGATAATTTTTTTTCTTGTATTTCTTTTACTGTATTTTGTTAAAATAAAACCCTGTAAAAATACTAGAATTGGTTAAAGATTTGGGGAGAGTCAAGCCTCCCCACTACCTCCTGGCTGCTACGGCCCTGTTTTTACAAGCGTTTTTCTGTCCCCCCATCAAAGAGTTCGAGCAAAGAGAAACGTCAGAACGTTCGCTTAGAACGTTTGTTTTGTTTGTCAAATGATTATTCTTCAAAAAATTATAAATAAAAGAAAACAGAATCGTCTTTTATTCAAAGTACGTTGTTGTTTTTCTTTTTTTGTTACAGCAAGTTTTAATTAAAGATTGAGTGTAGTTCTGAAGACGTAATTTAAAATATTAATGTAACAATGAAAGAACATTACTTAATAAATAAATAAATAAAAAATAACGTAAGACCTCGCCTCGTAGTAAGATATAGAGAAAATTAAACAAAGGCGCACGTTTCTTACTTTTTGTCTTTCCTGCTTTCGTTTTTCGTTTCTTATTTCTTTGATTTTTACCTTGTGTTTTATCTGTTTAAATATTTGGTAACAATAAAATTCGGGATTGGGAAGTTTGAAAATCGAAACAAATAAGTAATAAACAAATAAATAAATAATCAAACACTCTTGACAAATCGGAAGTTCCTCATCTTCACCGGAAGCTAAAGGGGTTGTCGAGTATGATTTACATTAATGGTAGCTTGAGACAAGGCTCGCTGTGGAGCAGATGAGCGCAAAGAATCAGATAAGAAGAATGCTGAAGGGTTAGTGAGGAGGGCAGAGTTTCGAATCTAACTCAGGTATATTGGAAAGGTTCAACGGGAAACACTTAATCGGATATGCGTGAAGGATATTTTGTAAGCCTCTCTGAAATGTGTTTTCTTTCCATAAAATATGACAATGCACTAGAAATGTAAAGCAAGAAATATAACATCGGCATTACCCAATTTGTATTCTTACATTTTCTTTTTAATAAAAATGTCTCTGTCAATATTTTAATGGCATGACATTAAAACAACACGAGCTACTTTCTTGTTTGCACCTAAAACATATATACATATATATAAAGCGATTTTTCTAACAATAGCTTAAATGTGGCACAAGACCGAAAATGTGAAGCACCCATTAAGAATCAAACTAAGTAAGTCGTAATTGATCTAGCGAGACAAGCTTGCTAACCATTACACCACGTCGAAGTGCCCACATGATTTTCTAAGCATAGCTTAGATGCGGCACAAGGCTGAAATTATGGAGTACTCAGTATGTAAATGTATATATATATATATATATATATATATATATATATATATATATATATTTATATATTTATAACTAGGGATCAAATATGAATCGAATCCGACAGAATGATAGGATATATATTATATATATATATAAATTACTAAGAAGATAGAGTAAAAATATTTTTTTTTAATTTCTAGGTCTGATGAATTGGATCGTAATTACGATTCCAATGTAATAGATTATAACCATAGAATATTGGTGTTTGAGCCTTTTATATTATATTTGAAAACCTAATTTTGACGCTAATTTACTCGTAATATAAAATTAGCGTATGCACTGCTGATCCGTACGCTAATTTTATATTTCGTGTAGTATGCGACCCCACTTAAAATTAGTTCTTTAAAAGCCGCATGATACACGGAGATCATATATATATATATATATATATATATATATATATATTTATATTAAATAGGTCCGTTGGCAACCTAATTGTTACCTGCGCGGGAAAGAAAATTATCGAACAAAGTTCAAATTAATTCCTAGTCTACTGCGTTCTCTTTTGTGCAAAAACTATTAGGAAATTTTATGAATCCATGTGTGAAAAGTGTATCAAATGTTTATAGTTTTAAAAAGAAAACTTGATGGATTTCTTAGGAGTAACATAAAAAATGGTCGACAGACAGTACCGGAAGTTGCCAGAAGAATTTTTCTAATGCGTACCATACTGATTTTCATTTTTAAGATATAGGGAATTTCTATGTAAGGTAATTTTAAGTTTTTGGAAAGACAAATTAGGAAATTATTTTTTTCTGTGTAAGTGGTTTTGTCTAAATAGTTATTGAACGATTATTGCATTTAATGTCTTTTCAGAATGGTTTTGCGTAGATTATATTTTAAAAGGATATTATTATTTACATATATGTAAAATGTTTTTAAAAAGGATTTTTGTAACTCAAAAGTTATTTAAATGAATATATTTTGACTTAAATATTTCTTTTAAATTATTGCGTGCGATTTTTATAGTTTTCTATTTCTATACCAATGGAGCCATAAATAAAAAAAATGTTTTCTGCACTCCACCAACTATAAGATAAATAGCAGGGCTGACTGATCTCACTAGCGTTGGTTGATAGTTTATGAGGCTATTTTGAATCAGAAACAGTGAAAACACAATAGTGAGCTACTCATTTAACGATGGTTTTACTTCCGGTGAAGCAATTTCTTTTTCCCCTACTCTCTTTTCTTCTTATGTGCCATGTCCTTTCAAGGCGTAGACGATCATGACTCCCACCTTCCTCTATCCCTTGCAGCTCTCAACATGTTCCTTCCTTCCGTTACCTCCTCTAGACCACGTCCTGTTATCCATTTGCTTATGCCCGCCAGGTATGTCACACGTTGTTTTTCCTTGTTTCTCTCTCTACTCGACCCGTGAGTATCAGATTCTCCAGGCCCTCCTTCCTCGTTATGTGTCCCGGAAACTTCAGCTGCCTCTTCCTGATCTCAAGTATAAGCCTCCTCCTTGTTTGCATCCTTTCTAAGACCTCATCGTTGCTCACACGCTCGGTTCATGATATCCTTAGCATCTTTCTGTAGAACCACATCTCCGTCGCCTCGTGTCTCTTGTTCATCTTTGGGGAAATCGTTCAACATTCGTGAAGAAGGACAGATGTCACGTAACAGCTCAGTATTTAAATTCGCGCTCGGATTATCTATAGTTATGATTAAATCGTTTTTGAATTAATCATGGAATGTCGTGTGAAGATAATTTCAACTTGCTATGATTTCAAATTCTCCACTTCAATTTTAAATTTATTCGTTTTTATTTGAACCATGGCCGTGATTTCGGCCTGCCCCTATATTTGTTTAGATTTGTTCTTTCCGATTTACGTGCATCGGTATAGCGAAAGATGCTTTACAGAAACTAAGCAAAGATATAGGAAAATGTCATTCGAAAGAAAGAGAAAAGTGCCGAACTGCTAAGGAAAATGGTAACCGAAGATCACAAAGTTACAGCTAACATTTCTATAACACATAATTAGGAAAGAAAACTTGGAGATTTTCATACTTATAGGGCATACTGATGGTACAATGGTCAGGGAGATATAACTATCCTACGAGCTAGTGTAAACGGATGATAGAACTTGGAGGGGGGTAGTAAAAAGACAAATATTGCTAAGAGATACAATAAATGCTATACTAAGTAATGGAGAGCCATGATCATCCACATCTTTAATGGAAACGGTACATAGAAAAATAAGGATAATATTTGAACTAAAACAAAGCGTGGATTTCGGATGATGAATTTCAAGAATTGAAGGTTCTTCAGCAATTAGATTTTTTGCGCAACACAATATTCCACTTCCCATTTGTCCGTTCTGGTCTAAGTTCAGTACTGAATAATAATAATAATAAAGTAAATAGCACAGTCACTCCAATTCGTGGATGTCCTATTAGGGTGGCTAACTAATCCCCATTGCAGACGCTTGCTCAGGCACATTTGTGTTTGTTCAACACTCACAGAGCTCAGCTATGGATTATACTGAAGTTATGCTCAGCGGGCCTTCTTAGTTAAAGTTTCTGGAAGAGAGCGCATTATCTAACGTAATCAACAGTTTGAACAAGGCTAGGACGCTCAAACCCTCGGTCACGATGACTTGTGACTTCGTGCTAGCCCAACCGCCGACGGCTCCCTAAGGGTTCTGTCCACCCAATTTCTCTTATAAGGCTTGGGTCAACCCGTGTATTGGTTTCCAAGCACTTTTCAAAGGTGCCGCATGCTGGGAACGCCTCCTGCAGACCGATAACATCAAGTCACCTTCCTGCCAAATCGGCCATGAGATGATAGTAATAATAATAATAATAATAATAATAATAATGAAGTTGTTCATTTGAACAGGAGTAGAGGTTTTTCCCTTGATTCATATTTAGGATTGGTTTCCGGCTCCTAATGCGTCATGGTGGCAATTATCACGTTGCTTGGAGTGATGCCTCTTATGTAACCACCCACCTCGAGTGGCTCTTACGCCTTGTGAACATTATTGTAAATAAAAAATAAAAAAAAATACCTAAAGATAGAAATTAAGATTATAAAATGTGGAAAGTGTAGATATTTCCCTTCGTCGGCATCTGCGTCAAATCCGTTAGGAACAACGATTTCATCAGGAACAAACGAAAAATTCTCGTTAAGCTCTTAATCAGGTCGACAAAAATATCTGCCAATCCCTAGTAATGCGGCAGACAATCTTGGAAAACAGACGCTTCTTTCTAACACCAGCGTTTCCGCTAACCACCTCCCCCCACCCGCCTCCGGCCTTTTGAGGGAAATTCAATAGACGCTCAACTCATCTGGTACTTCCCCTTCAAGTGAAATGGCTCCCTCCAATGTACCTCTCCTCTCACGACGTGCGAAAGCAGTGGAAACTTAACTTCCTTCCCCTATGCACCACTTCTTAAACAAACTATCACCATTTTTATTTCTTTCGCCTTTTCTATCATAACTTATTATTTTGTTATTTAATTTCTATTACCCATTCTTGTTCTTTCTCGATTCTTCTTTTTTTTTTTTTTCTTACTTCTTATCTCGTTTCTTCTCTTTTACTTGATCGCTTTTTCTTTCTTTCATACTTCCATTTTTCTTAACTCGTTTCTTTTCTTTCTTGGTTCGATTTTCTCTCTTTCGTTCTTTCTTGGCTCGATTATTTCTCGCTTTTTTGGTTAGATTCTCT